GTCTAATACCCAATGTCATTGTTGCATAGCACCCAACAATATTGGCCAAGGTCCTACCAATAAGCTTTGTAGGTTATTTTGTAATGAACCCAGACTGGATGACACTCGCCAAACGTCGAAATACAAGATAACTCAGATCTGGACAATGTCTCCAATAATCATGAAAGTGATCTCTGATACAATGTCTCATTACCAGTAGACGAAGAGAGTGGAGGGGAATAGACAGATAAGAGGGTGGAAGAGAGAATAACCATCAATGACCACTAAGAGAGTAGCCCAACATTTCCCACTCCTCCGGGCTTCCCCTCGCCTCCACTTTAGCAAACATTATCCAGTAATGAGTCTGACAGGTTCTGATCACATCGAAGTGCCACGTGGCACTGTTCTCTCGTAAAGACAATGGAGACAATCAGCAGCACACAATATCGACGTCAACCTGAGGTAAGTATCCCTATCCTCCTCAAACATCCACAAATCCCGATCTCCCTCCTTGTGGCGTCCAGTCCCGAATGTAGACAGCAATGCCACATCAGCGATGAAGACAGGTGGCATGTGCCACATCAGCAATGAAGACAGGTGGTATGCGCCACATCAGCAATGAAGGCAGGTGGCGTGCGCCACATCAGCAATGAAGACAAGTGGCATGCGCCACATCAGCAGAGGCTGGCGCTCAGCAGTGAAGGTGCCATCATACTGCGTAAGTCCCGCGTTGTCGTCCACAGTGCCAGCGCAAGCCAGCGTCCAGCCAGTGTCCAGCCAGTGTCAAGCCAGCGTCAAGGCAGCATAGCAAGACTGAATGTTGACCCCCTAGAGGCAGGGTCTTATGTAGTGATTGACCGAGTTGACCTGCCTCAGGTCTCCCACCGACGGTGGCCCAGATTGACTGATGCTGTCTTGGTACCTGCATACAAACAAGTGTGTGTGTCTGACCGGCGGCCTGGGCTGGGTCCATATTGACTTTGACTGTTGGGCCTCAGGCAGTTGACTGAAGTCAACTGTCGGGCGCTCAGGCCCTGGGCCATTTCGGAGGGTCTTTTGCCCCTTCCACCTTACGCCCAGAAACCGAGGTCGCGGCCTGTGCCCCCTTGTACATTCAACGAGGCATAATGAACGGGTTATTGCAATTTGGGCGAGAGCACTGTATCTTGAGTTCTCATTTTTTCTTCCTCGTCTTCTGCTTCCCTGTGCACTGTCCTGAACTTGCTCTGTGTATGTGAGAGGTGAAAAACTGTGGTAGTTTGCGAAGCTTATTTGTTAGCACTGTTGCTGGTAATGGCTTCCTGTGTCTGGCTTGTCAAGGGTAAGTTGGCCAAGCTTATCCATTGACTGGAATAGCCATCACTGTCAGCGCACACTTTCGCAGGGGTTTATGGCTGTTGGGGGAGGGGGGCTGTTGTTATGTGTTTACTATTTGGCATGGGGTGCCATGTCAGAGCCAATTGCTTTGTCATCGTATGAGTCGAACTGGTAATCTACTGCGTGTAAAGAGGTTGTCTAATGAATCCAGTTCTAGAAGCTCATATTATCATCATCAGGCAAATACTTGCAATGCTTCAATGAATGACAACGCACAAGGAGATCGCAGTGTTGTCCAGCGATCAGACAGAAGAAGACGAAGACTGGAAGAGGGAGAATAATCAATTGATACCATGTCTTCTCCCTCTTTGGACCATGGGCTCCTGTCTTTGAAATGCCAACCTCGACATGTCACCATTCTATCAGCATGACTGATGAAACCACTCTCTCCTCTCAAGAATGCGGTAAAGACAAGGACGACCTTCAGATACAAAGTGCTGTCTCATTTTTCAATCGCATTGAAAACTTCACTCTCTCTCGTCTATCTTCCACAGGTTACGCCCTCCCTCTCAAACCTCTGTCTCTCTCTCTCCTCTAGTCTATGGTGTCTGAGCACTGTCTACTTCTAGCTATGGTTAATTTGGAAACTTTCCTCTCTCTCTCTCTGTCTCTCCCTCTCTTCCTTCTCGCAGCATTGCTCCAGTCGCAAGGCATAATGAATGACCAACACTGGGGGATGCAAAGCGCTGTCTCATTTTTCAATCGCATTGAAAGCTTCACTCCCCCTTGTCTCTCTTCCACAGGTTATGACCTCCCTCTCAAACCTCTCTGTCTCTCTCTCTCTATTCCAGTCTATGTCTCTGTCTCTCTCTCTCTATTCCAGTCTATGTGCCTGAGCACTGTCTACTTCTAGCTATGGCTAATTTGCAAACTTTCCTTTCTCTCTCTCTGTCTCTCCCTCTCCGCCTTCTCTCAGCATTGGTCCAGTCGCAAGGCAGAACGAATGACCAACACTGGGGCGGGCAAAGATGGGGAACTCGCTTGGGATGCTGGGCTCCTAGGCAATTGACCTGAGGGCTTCTGCCTACCCCTCGACTTTTGGCCCCAGAACTTGGCCAAAAATTGTCAAAATTTATAACTGGAAGACTGCTGCAATGCTGGTTTTGAGTGCTTTGCAGTCCACTGTCTTAGTTGCGAAAATTGCATTCATCATATGATGCGTTTTCTATAATTCTGCGACATTTCTTCTCAAAGGCAGCTTTCGCTGAGGTGCAGATTCTTCTAATTCTCAGTCACCTGTCTTTTGAAGGTGGTCGAGTCTTGAATCTGTCTTTGTACTGTTTCTGCGGTCTACCACGTTGGTCAGACTTGAATGCGGAATCCTGTTGGATTCCGTTGATCCCAGAGTCTTCATCCACTGCCGTCGGTATCATCGGACCATGTGCTGGAAAACCTTCGCTCTCTATCTATGGTCAAAGTTTTGATCGATGAAAGACTAGAAAGGTTCTGAACTTCTGAGGCATGGATGCATATGGATCACATGATGGTCCATCCTGACCTCCTGTGGCAGGCAACAATTTTCGGGAGATCTTCTTTAGCAGAGGTATAATGAGCCCGGCAATTGTCTGAAGCTTATGCAACCAGGACGTACAAGAAGTCTCAAAGCACTCAAAATGGAACCAATGGCCATGCAGAGTAAGTCATGAGGCATGCAATGATGTCCCACAATAAGCAGCGATTAACCAGAAGAGAGAAATGTAGAGAAGAAGTAGAGAGGAGGAGGATAGTTTGATTAATAATCAATAGTACGATTGAAACGTCTTCAGTTCCCCCTCACCTCCAGGACCTTCTCGACCACTCGCCAGCTCAGCGTGCAATCTCGCTCCCTGATGACATTAGCGAAGCCTCTCTGCAGGTTGGGGGGTATCAGAGCTTGGCTATGGAGCTTGGCGCCTTCCTTCCTTCAGGCTGCTGAGGTGAACCACCGTTTCTCTATCACCAGGCCAATAGGTAAGCTTCCCTCTCCCTCCCTCCCTCCCTCCCTCCCTCCCTCTCTCTCTCTCTCTCTCTCTCTCTCTCTCTCTCTCTCTCTCTCTCTCTCTCTCTCTCTCTCTNCTCTCTCTCTCTCTCTCTCTCTCTCTCTCTCTCTCTCTCTCTCTCTCTCTCTCTCTCTCTCTCTCTCTCTCTCTCTCTCTCTCTCTCTTGTTGTGACGACCCTTTTCCTGGCCTACCTGTACACTATAGTACGGCGTGCAAACACCCTTCCTAGCTATGGCTCCTCATCTTCTTCCTCTCCCTGGGCTCTCTTCCTCCCTCTGGCGCCAGCCTCTCTCTTCCACTTCTGGTGCACAAGCAATGCTCTGACACCAGCGCGTGCAAGGCAGAATGAATGAGCCGCTGGGGCAGGCAGCTCTTCCAAGAGTTGACCGGTCTTGGCCTGCGTCAGTCGACTCCTCCTACGGTTGAGGTTTCTTGATTTGTGTGGCCCAGATTTGCTGTTGTCCAATGTCTGCCTGGACCAGGTAGGCTCTGGAAACTTTGGAGCATCTGTGGCCGTGGTCGACTCCTCCCGAGTTTGGGTCTTGAGTCCTGATTTTCCTGGAGTCAACTATCTTGCGTGGGGCACAGGCAGGCTCATTTGGCCCTGGAACCTGTACCTGTTGACCCAAGGACTTTTCTCAGACCCCTCTAAGACAGGATACACAACCATCGAAAGAAATCTATAGCGCTGTGTACTTCTCTCGAGTTTGAGCCAGGCTCCTGCTTTTCCTGGAGTCAACTATCTCTTGCGGGGCACAGGTAGTGTCATTCAACCCTGGATGCTGTATCATTGACCCAAGGACTTTTCTCAGGCCCTCTTAGGCAGTAAACATGACTTTTGACCCTGGAATCTGTACTTGGACAAGAAAGTGTCGACCCTGGACTATGTCTGTGCGGATTTTGAATTGTGTTCATCGCACAGAACCGACTAGACTTAACCCTTAATCACCATAAACGACACATGCTCAGCTTAACCCACACAAGAGAACATGCGGGGGCTGCTCCCGACCTGCAGATGGGCGATACTGACCAGGGGACAGCCGGTAGCATCAAGGACCAATACCTGTGGCTCCCCTCAGGTCCCCTCCCCTACGAACATCAGCAGACTCTGCTCAATGCCGATGGGGCATCCAGTGGTCTATCTTTAGGTGGCAAGTGTCAAGTATGACCAGGAAGGTACATGTGGCCAATGGGGATTGAACCCACGACCTCCTGAATAGCACTTGCGAGCCTTACCAACTGAGCTAGGCCGCTGGATCCTTCCTTGCTTTCTGTCATTCCACACAAACTGTTCCATTAAGTTCCGCCCCAAAAAAAGAAGGAAAAAAGGGAAACTGTTACATTAAGTCAGCATAGGTTGTTCTCCAAAGTGAGCTTCTGTTTACTGATTCTGTGTTTGGAATTCATGTTCATTCTTGTACTTTACTGGTGTGAAACAATAAGCGTTCAGAGCCAGTCACTGATCATACAACTGGGGACTTGTTTATGTTTTGATCAATCTGAATTTTCCTCCTTCAAATCTGATGTTTTGGATATTTCTCAATTGATCTTTTCTGTCAATAACTGTCATTTGTCGAAGGGACTGTTGTTGGAAAGGGATCCCTCATCTTTTTTTTTTTTTTTTTTGGTACCCTGACTTATTGTGCTTGGCTGTTTTGAGGCAGGTATCCTCAATTAACCCCGGCAGTTATACAGAAGAAATGCCCAAAATGTGTGGGGTTCTGCAATTGCAAAAAATGCTTGAGGAAGTGTACCGAACCATTCTATGTAAGTTCTCTGCTGTTATGGCCATTTCCCATCCCGTTTTCACTTACCTGACTGGTGTGCCACCTCCCTTTTCACAAGTACGCCTTTTGGACGGCACACGGCAGGGATATGTGCTGAATTTCGAGACTCAGTCCTTGGCCACTAGTTGGAGGATGTACATAGGTTTTTGGGACAGGTAGTTCCATTGTATAGGTTTTTGGAATGGTTAATTCCATCCTAGCAGTTTGAACTTTGAACAGTACCACTTCAGACCTGTGGGCCTGTGAAACTTGAATCGACCACCAAAAGGTCACACAATTTGCTGCCAGAATCAAACGTTGTAATCCTCCTGAAGTTTATAAAGGGAAGGGTCTTCGATATCGAAATGAAATTATACTCGAGATACGAGGCAAAAAAAAAAAAAACGATGTCATATTTCAAATCGAATAAATCGGAAAAAAGCGCACCAGTTCAGTGAGTGAATCATAAAAAAAAGGCAGAATAGAAGACCACGTGGCCATGGCTTCAAATTGGCGGAGAACTCAGACATATGAAACATAAACCAACACCAGCCTATTGAGCCTCTCAATACTGCAATGAGCCTGAACTGCAAACCAGCAACAACCACACTTGCAGCAATCAGAAAGTCACCCAAAACATTGAACAGCAAATTAGCAACAAGAATATGAAGATCCGCCTCCCAAAATTTATTATTATACAAGGACAGAGTCCGATTACCATCTGTCAATGACCACTATCGCCAGTGAATCAGCCAAGTACCTCTCTCTTCCTCCCTCGCTCTCTCTCACGCTCATCCCTCTCAGATACCACGCAAGTCTTCAGGCGCTCAACCTCACTCGTTGACTATCCCTGTTCACTCTTGCTCAAACTCGCTTACTGAATACAGTCGACCTTCCTGAATATACCCGTCCCCCTTCTCCTCCCTCACCTCCCCCTCCACCCCCTCCCCGTCCTCCGCCTCCTCGTCCTTTGCCTTCTCCTCCTCCTCCTCCTCCTAGCAGGTGTGTTCATGACGGGGCCAACACGGCAACTGTGGTGAACATCAGCTCGACCAGCAGGCAGGGAGTTTCAAAGGAGTTGCAAGGACACAATACGAAATCACGCAGCATTGGAATTTCGAATCTCCCCACCTTCCTCACTCTGACTGCCCGTGTGGTCCGGTTTGGATGACCAAACAGGGCCCCAAAAGTGGCCCAAACACTTTTTGGAGGCCGCTTGGGACCCAAAAACCACCTTTTTTTTCATTTTTCAGCTCGGCCCCAAATGCGGAACCTCGAGACCAGATGCTGGAACCGGACGTCCAGAAGGCAACCATAGTTTTTTGAACTTTTTTTCCTTTTTCTTGGTTTTATCCATGGTTTTGAGCGCTGCCTATTGTCCGGCAACTAGATCCTTACTGTCTTGGTTTACTTTCATTCCTTCTTTTATTTGTGCGTGTGTGCGTGTTGTCACCCAAATGTGGTCCAAACACTTTTGGGGGGGCGCTTGGGACCCAAAAACCACCTTTTTTCCCTTTTTTCAGCTCGAACCAGATGCTGGAACCGGACGTCCAGAAGGCAAGCATAGTTTTTTAAACTTTTTTTCCTTTTTCTTGGTTTTATCCAGGGTTTTGGGCTGCCTATTGTCCTGCAACTAGATCCTTACTGTCTTGGTTTACTTTCATTCCTTTTTTTATTTGTGCGTGTGTGCGTGTTGTCACCCAATCCCCTACATCAAACACAAATCCAATCAAGATACCATGACAAAACAAGTAAGTTGTGGAAGTACCCCATGTCTGTGTAATTGAGCAGGAAAGGCCCTCGAATTTGACCTCTGTGCATGTGTGGTGAAGCAGGAAGTGCCCGCACATCCACCCTCTGGAACAACCAGTACCTCCAAGCCTCTTTTGCCCAAATATCGGTTTTGCCACCCTTGGGCTACCAAATCATCATGAAACAGGGGCCTACGGGGCATTGTGGGAACTGAAACTGAGACCGTCCTAGACGTAATGTAATGAAGTCCCAGGGAAGGTGCTAAAATGTTAGGTACCACCAAGCAGAGTCTGAACATCGAGCTGCTGTGGGGCATGCTAGGAGGCAGTGTTCCAAGGTGGGCCAACTTTTCAGACACGAGACCCCCCAGCATGAGCACAGCAGGGATGGGTTGCCGTCGTGTTGCAGGTCAGAGAGTGATACCAGCCAATCAGAGGCCAGGAGGCATCTTGCAAAATTTGCCATTGCAGAGTCCTCTGGTTGGTTAGCATGAGGTGGCTGTACTGTGACCAGGAAAGTGTGCATAGTCGGCTGCTTGTAAGGGGGCATCCCAATCCCACCAGTGTATAACCGTCTCAGTTGTGGGGGGCAGATTTATATATGGCTGTAAATCCATTTTCAGCTGCGTACTACCAGAACAACATCTATTGGCCTGTGTGTTCAAAAATCAAATGTTTAGAGGGACACACCTGTCTATCCCTTGGATACAATGAATTTGCACCTGATGCATGTGCTGCTGCTGCCACTGCAGTCCGCAGCTAATATCACGGAGCAGAGGAGGCTGGAGCATCACTTCCGTCTGTTGACACTGTTGATCCCTCACCTCAAGTGGATGGTTGCTAAACAAATGGAAGAAGTGAAGGTTGAAGCCAGAAGAACAAACTGCTCTGAAGGCGAAGGTAAGTCGTATCAGCTCCGTACGATGGGTGACTGGTTGTGACCGACTCAAACACGTTTGTTCTTTTCTCTACTCACCCAGTTGTTTAGGGCCTCTGCTCCGCTGTTCTCTCCACCTGGCCCGGTTGTTCTCTCGTCTGTATACACTTCCGTCTGTTGACAATGTTGATCCCTCACCTCAAGAGGATGGTTGCTAAACAAATGGAAGAACTGAAGTTTGAAGCCAGAAGAACAAACTGCTCTGAAGGCGAAGGTAAGTCGTATCAGTTCCGTACGATACTGGTAGTGACCGACTCAGCCACATTTGTTTTTTTCTCTACTCACCCAGTTGTTTAGGGCCTCTGCTCCGTTGTTCTCTTATCCTGGCCCAGTTGTTCTCTCCTCTGTATATCTCTTGTTCTACTCATCTTTCCTTGGCACCCAACCCTTCTGCCCTGCTCACCCCCTTCTCATCCTCTTCTCGCCTTTTTCTGCCACGTTCCTTCCCCTCGTCTCGTCATTTGTTTCCCTCCTCATGTCCATCTGGTCCCCACAGTTCTCCTCTGCTTCTGCCTCTGTCCGTCTCTCATCTCGACCTTGCTGATCTACCTTCTTTCCTGCTCCTCCTTCTGCTCGTCCTCGTATCAGTTTCCCTCGCTCTGCCTGTGCTTCTTCCTCTATCCCTCGCCCTCACGGTTTCTCTCCCCCATTGCCTTCCCCTTCCCCTTCCCCTTCCCCTTCCCCTTCCCCTTCCCCTTCTCCATGCCCTCTTTTTCTTCCCCCATTTTCCTCTCCCCCCTTTTTTGCTTTCCCCATCGCCCCTTCTGTTCCTCCACCCCCATTGCCATTCTCCTCTTGTCATTCCACTTTCCCTGCGTGTTCGGCTTTTGCTCCACTCTCTCAGTGATTGTCCAGTTACCTGACCTTTCATCCGGTACAAAGGGCAGTTTCATCTGTCAACTGAAATTGACGATTCTTTTTTGGTCAATTGCAGCTAATCTGAAATAAATTTTGTCTCGGTTTTGGCCAATTGCAGATAAGCTGAAGTAAATTTGTGGTATTATGCTGTATTTTGCACCAATGAAGCTTGTGCAGCTGTTAATACATCTGTTGATAATTTAAAGTGAATTGTGTGTCCATTTCTGCTCCCATGGTTTGGCAGGGCATGGTCTGGATATTCAGAAGTCAGGAGTTGGCATAGGGGAGCGGCTTTTCTGGTATGCGCTCATCTTAACTTCGTTGAAAGAGATGAAACATTTAATTCCAAGAAGGTTTTTGAATGATGTCAGCATTTTGGCTTTTTCCTTAACCCATCACTTTGATTTGAGAGGCTTCGTCCTTCCCGCCCTGGTATCCACCCTTCTTAAACCAATGTTTCCTAAAAGGGCTTCCCCCTCCAATTCCGCCTTGGCAGCCCCCCCCCCTCCACCACCTCCCCTTGAGAAGGCTAGAAATTGCTAAAAGGGTATGTCTCTTCCCCTCCAGAACCCCCCACGAGAAAAAAAGAGAAAAGAGGAAGTGAAAGAAGGTCGTAGAGACTCGTGGACCTTGCTGACAATGTAGCGCTGTTTCTATACCATCTTGTGCGCCTGTCGACGCCCATGTGGTGTGGCTAATTTACCCCTTTTCCCTTGTGTGCCCATGGAGCCCAGATTATTACGCCTTCGTGTTCTCACTCTCCGCTCTCCCTCCATCGTTCTTCCTTCCCCATTGGTTCCTCCGCTGTCCTAACTTTCAACTCACAACACTGATTTGAAAGGGAACAGATGTAAAGACATAATTGCAGGAGCATGCATTGTGGAGGGGCATGTGGGCACTCCCTGTTGAACCACACACATGTGGGAGACCTTGCACACAAACATGAAGACCGACATTCTCCAATGTAATTCACGCTGAAATTTGCAGGAAACTACTATGCACCATGGCAGCGGCGGACAAGTAAACCGGACAAGTCTGGATGCTGGAAACCGGAAACCTGATTTCCCGGTTTCATCCGAACGTCTGGATTTCCAGTAATTTCCGGTTAATCCGGACATGTCTATGCGATGTTTATGTCCGGATTTAAAAAGAAGAAGAAGAAGAAGAAGAGAGTAAAGAGAGTATGTGCGCACATACAAAGTCCTCTACATAGTATTACAAACAGATTGAAAACAATGAAAAGGCCTGGGGTAAACGGGGGAAAATAGGTACGACAATCACAAGGCCATGCGTGGGAAGTAGGGAAATGGAAAAACATTCTCTCTCTCGCGCGCACGCGTAAAGAAACTGATGACGAGGACCAAGACGAGGAGGAGGAGTAGGTGGAAGAGGACGAAGACGTCGAGGACCGAACCGATGATAATGACAGGGAGTACGAGGAGCAACTTTTGAGGAAGAAGGCGACAAAGGTCCAAAAACAAAACAAAAAAAACGGGAAAAGCGCGCCGCTGGAATGGGCAGGGGCGGGGGGGTTATGTCAAAGTGCATGACGAGGACCAAGATGTGGAGGAGGAGGATGACACCATAGTAACTTGGTTATGGGGAGGCTTCTCAGTGGATAACGCAACCTTAGTGTGACCCATTGATCTATAAACGCCATAGGGCGTGAAATGGTTGTTGCCCATGAAATGGACAACAATTGAAACCAGATGCATGGCCTGCCTGTACTGCGATGCTCAGTAGACTTCTGCACCTTTAAAAGAGAGCTGGCAACTCTCTGAATTCGAGCGGAAAGGTACAGGGAAGAAAGCCTTGACGAACTATTGAACAAGTGAAAGCTTTGGCGGAAGACGGAGATGAGAAACACGCGACAAAGACGTGGATGAGGAGGAGCGGGAGGAGGACTAAGACCTGGTGGAGGAAGATCAGGAGGAGGACGAAGATAAGGAACACGACGACAAAGATACGGAAAAAAAAGACAGAAAAAGGGCGCCACATGGCACAAGCAGGGGCAGGGGGGTTATAGCAAGTACATGACGACGACCAAGATGAGGGGGAGGAGAACGAGGGGGAGGAGGACAAAGACGTGGATGAGGAGGAGACGAAGGAGGACGAGGATCAAGAGGAGGATGAAGATGAGGAACACAACGACAAAGATCAGAAAACAAAAAGACAGAAAAAGGGTGCCATGTGGCACGAACAGGGGCGGGGGAGGGGTGGAGGGGTAGGTTATAGCAAGTACATGATGACAACCACAACGAGGAGGAGAAAGACGAGGGGGAGGAGGACGAAGACGTGGAGGAGGGGCGGGAGGAGGAGCGGGAGGAGGACAAAGATGTGGAGGACAAGGAGGGGGAGGGGGACGAAGACGTGGAGGACGAGGAGGCGGATGGAGGAGCAGAAAGGAGGAGAAAGACCATGATAACGAAATGACGAGAGACACACACACACAGAGAGAGAGAGAGAGAGAGAGAGAGAGAGAGAGAGAGAGAGAGAGAGAGAGAGAGAGAGAGAGAGAGAGAGAGAGAGAGAGAGAGAGCTGCTTGCGCCGTTCGTGGCTGGGCTCACTGCCTTTGCTGTGCCCTCTGCTAGCCCTGATGTGCCTGCTCCACGTCTGCTCCTTGCCTTCTGTGGTGCCTCGTTGCTATGCTTCTTCCTCCATCTGACCATGGCGGTAGTGACGGGCATGCAAGCTTGAACGTTGTTGTGGGAGATGGGCCGGCCGAACTGGCAAATCGGGAGGAGGAATTCGAAGACTGCGGGCACTACTGGGCCGCCACAATTCAAACAGGCAGAAAAGAAAAAAAGGAACAAAACTTCCAACAAGCACACAAAAATTATGGCCCTACCGGATGCCCCTTCAGGGCCAAAAAAAAGGGGGGCGTATTTTTGGCTGGCGGCCATGGGTGCAATGAAACGCCATGGGCTGGCAAAATTTATTTTGGCCATTAGCCAAAGTGTCTGGAATCTGGACCGGGGTCTGGGCAAGTTAACCGGACACCGGACTCGGGATGGTCCGGATCCATGTCCAGAGGTCCAGATCGCTGCCATGCTATGCAGCCAAAAGCATGATAATAGTTCCAAGCATAGCTGCAGCGGATCGCGCGCGCACAAGCCAGGCACGTGCAGCACAAACTGCACCGCACACGTGGCGTGCGTACAGCATGCGCTTCACACCCAAAAATAAGGGTTCACTGAAAAAAAAGGGGCCGCCGGGTGCTCTACCCCTCGTCCCTTGAGTATGAAAAACTGAAACAGCCGCAAGCAAATTTTTTTCGGGCAACAGGCGCATGGAGTCGTGGACACTTTTGTTCGTTTTCTGCAAGCGGGCTGGCAGTCCGATACTGAGATAATGAGGGCGCTTTGTTCCTTTCTGAAAGTGGGCTGCATCAAAAGATTCAAAACAAAGTGCCGTCATCATGACAGTAACCGACCTGAAACGTCGTTTGGATACACTGCACACCAGGAAGTCGTGAACTTCAACTTCCAGGTGTCAAGTGTATGAAAGCTGTATTTCAGGTCGGATACCTTCATGATGAGGGCGCTTTGCGTTGCTTTTTTTCTTCTAATTTCTTGCACAGGGGCCATGCTGTCCTGTCAGATGAGACAGAAGAATCCAGTTGGAAATGACGAGTTCTTTCCTTTTTTTTTCAGAAAAATACAAAAAAAATCTTGTCTGGGCTCCTGAGGGCGTACTCACACTAGGACTTTCCTGGATGTATATGACTGATTTTCTGACCGGTGCTGGATGCACCTGATGGCAATTACGTCCACAGAGAAGTTGAAAAAGTCCTAGTGTAAGTATGCTTTCAAACGGACGGGGAGCCAGAGTGCTGCAATGTATACTTACTATCCTCCAGGTCCGGTACAGCCTCTCTCTCTATCTCTCTCTCACTGAGGTCCATTACAATCATGATGAGGGTGGAGCCGTGTTCTTCAAAACTGGCCGTTGAGACCTGTCAGATCGGACCGCCATGATGAGGGTCGCTCTGGAAAACTGACCTTCATGATAAGGGTGTGTCGTGTTCGTGAAAACCTGCGGTTGTAGCCTTCATGACAGCACACAGGTTCCGCAATGAATCCTCTCTCTCTCTGTCACACACACTCAAACATACTCTGCCTTCTTTGCATAATTTGCAAGTGGGCCGTTATGGCCCACGGGGATATGAGCAGCTCGCACTCAACCGCAATCAATGTGGTGAGCCTTGTATTTAGAGGCGCAGTAAAAGGGGAGTTGCAAGTACAAATAAAATAGCGACCCAAAAAAGCCAAAGTGAACTCAGTTAAGAAGGTGATCTGAACGCTTCTATTTTGCTCCGTGTTGCATGCTATAAAGGTAACTGTTTGATTGTTGCTTCGTCTCAAGTTTTTGGGTTGTCTGCAATCGGACTAAAGCTGCTTCGATTTTGGATCTACTCATCTGGATGGAATAGGG